CAGAACAGCCGACTTCTCAAAGGTGAAATAGTTGGATGTTTCATTTCACAGCACTCAGTCTTGGCAGCTGAAGTTAAAAATAGTACTGGATCCTCTAAAGGTTTGTGTCTCAGGAGGATGGAGCTGTCTCCCTGAAACTAGACTCTGGCTCATTTTAAGAAAAGCAGAGTTTTTCAGAATTAACAGGATAATTACAGAATTAAGAGCCTAATACAGTAACAGCATCAGTAAGAGATCAGCACTAATAATTGAAGATTGTTCATGTCAGCATATCTAACCAAGGGTAGGGAGATAGAAAAATCACAGGGGTTGCCTTACTTTAGCTGTGTGCCTAGAAGTGTACATAACAGCCTGATTAGTTCATGGGCAGCTTCCTTTCCATGATATCATCTGCCTCTGGTGAGAGTGTAAGATCTCAGAACATCTATATGGAGGAGAAAAAAGGCAGATAAGCTGGATCATGAGTGCAAAGATAGGCATTTTGAGACCCTGGGGTCCTCTCCACTGGTGAGAACACCGTGCTAAAATGCCAAGATTCAATCCCTGTATGAGTTGGTCACTTGAGAGTTGGACTTGATGATCCTTCTGTGTGTGAAGGAACCTTCCTGTCCTTCCAGCTGAGACTGTTGTGTGAGACAGCTGTCCTTGCTGGCAGCAGTCTGTTTGGCATAAGTCTGCTCCACAAGGAGAGGATATAGGATTCTTTTGTTAATTCAAGGAAAACTTCCTAGTTTGAGTAATTATTTTTATTCATGTGGTTTTGTGAAAAGTGTTCCAGGAAATGAAGGAGGTTTGCTCAGAGTAAAGTAAAAGGCTGTCCTTAGCATTTTTTAATTAAGAGGGAAGTACATAAAATTAGAAAAAGAAAAGTAAAGCAAGTTATTCAAGTCAGGGTCTCTTGTAGCTGGAGACCTGTTGTCCTGCAAGGCTGCTTTTACAATCTACCCATGTGTAAATGTTTCTGCAGTGCTCAGGCATTGGTCAGGGTCTGATTCTGAATCTCCTGGCTTCTGTTCGTTTAAGATACAGTATTTAACCTTAATTATTTTATGTTATTAATAATGTGTTGTTCTTTACATAGTGATATTTTTTCAGCCTCGACTAGTGTTTATGTTCCTTAAATCATTCTTTTAAGGCCATAGCTGAAAGGGATGATTGATTATCTGGTTTTCACTGGGACAGTCTCAAGAGAAAAATAAAGCCTTTGTAATTCCAAGAGGATGGATACAGCCACTTCCAGATTTGAAAATGCTTTGTTCTAGGTCTGATTCAGCAAAGTACTTCATTGTGAGACACTTTTTAAACTCAGGGATGTCATCAGGTTGCCTGCAGCATGGCTGCTGGTCAGCTCCTTGAGTACATTGCTGAATCACAGGATTCACACTTAATCCTTACTTATTGTCAGAGGGAATACTAATAGTGCACAGTAATTTTTGTCTGAGTCACAGTGGCTGGAGTAAAAGCCTGGAATGGAGATTTTTCTAATAATTCTTCTGCCATGGCTCAAGCAAAGACTGTTCTTGATTCTACTATACTGATCCTAACAGCCTGAATGGTATGTTTTAGAAATTTGGATGAACAAATAGTTGTATTGCATTCATTGGTTTGTTTGCCTTAATTGATGATGAGGAGCCTGGGGATAAGTGGGAAAGCAGCAAAGAAAATGAAGAGTCCTTAAGTTAAAATAGTGACTTTCACATAAAGATTTCAGATGTCAGACAGCATAAGGGAGAATTGTTTATAAACCCATTCAGTGTAGGAAACTTGGCAGAGATCTTGCAAAAACCATTAATCATTAGCCATGCATAAGGCCAGTTATGACTATGAAAGTTGTCAGTATTTTGCCAAATCGAGGATTCATACAGTAGATTGACTTGCTGGCATTCAGCAGTCTGTATTACCAAGGTCAGCAGAAAGAAATCAATGCCTCATACCTTCCTCCACCTCAGCTGAATGTCATTTACTGGACTAAACAGCACATTTATTAGAAAAATATCAGTGTACTTTGAGCTCATTGATGCATTAGTGTTGTCAGAGCCATCCATCATTCCATTCCATCTCCATTTCCAATGACTCTTTGACCCACTGCCATCCTTGGGAGAGGTATGCCTGTAAAACAGTTTCAGCTCTCATCTTGTGGCATAAACATGCTTGTCTGGGGGGAGGCAGGCTTTTGGTTTGGTTTTTTCCCTAAGGAAAATTCAGTTCCATGGTGGCTAAAATGAACTGGATACTGGCCGTCCTTTACAGACTTAAATAGAAAATATTGAGCTGAAGGGGTTATGTAAATGCAGTGCTGAAAGGGTTATGTAAAGCAATCCTGTTCAGCTGTGTGCTTGGTGTTTACTGTTGGTGGGGATGTCCCCTGTTCTTTCCATCTCCAAGAAGAAGAACCAGTAAAGAGTCTGATGGCTGTGGAAGTGAAACCTGCTGCTCTTCCTGGGAAGTAAGGGGGGAAAGAGCACAGGCCCCTTAAGCCTTTGGACCAGGCAAAGGCCCTCTGTGAGGGTCAGTTGTATTCTGGTTCAGTGTGTCATGAAGAAAAAGTGCCAAATGTGGCATCCAGCAGGGAGTGTGACCCCTGTGGTGGGAGCACTCCTCAAAGACACACCCTCTTCCTTGGCTGAGGAAGGTGTGTCCTCCTTAGGTTTGCATGTGTTTGCTGCCAGCAAATCCTTCTCCAGCTTTCTCCAGTGCTTTCCAAGCCTGCTTCATTTTCTGTTTTGCCCATTTATTAGTATGACTGCTCTTGTTATTATGCTTGAAGAGTGTGTAGTGGATAATTTGGTTGTGTAGGTGCTGTATGACAACATGGTTTCCCACCGCTGCGGCTGATTCCTGAGTTTTTTACTTTGCCATGGTAAAATATTGCTTTGCAGCTAAGCTTATTCCTCTGTGTAAGCCTTTTTCCCCCATCTCAGATGTGTTTGCCAGTCACATTGCTAATCTATGTATTTTTTTTCTTTTCGGTGCAGAGGTTCATCTGCATTTCTTTCAAACAGCAGATTTGCCGCCTTTGACTATGACATAAAGATGCTTAAACTGTAGAAATGTTTTCATTTGCAGTGTGCAGGATTTTTGTTTGGTTGGTTTGGTTTTTTTGTGTGCGCTTCAGTGCATTCTGGTTTAGCTTCCTTAAAGCTATTGCTTCTTATATCATACCCTTGTCATCCATTGCAATCCACCCATCCTCTCCTCAGTCATTGCCAGAACTCTTATTTTTTGCGTGTGCCACTTTATTACAAATGTTTAACCCTGCTGGAGTGCCCTTCTTAGGCAAAATCTCCATCACTTCCACTGGGACATTTGCCTTCAAAGTGAAGGTTAGGACTGGGTGAAGTTTAGACATAGTTTCTGAACAAAATGTTTACTCAGTCATCTTTCAGTACATAAGAACTAGGCTTCAGTATTTTTGTTTTAATTATATTTCTGTTCAGCCAATGGAACAAGGTGCAAAGGCACCTTGTGTGGAGTAGTGATGTACCCACTGCCTGCCTGGCTAAGGAATGCTGCATTTAGGAGGCTTGTGTTCTGAATGGCTCAGCTGAAGAGCACTGAATTCCTTTGGCAGTCAGAATATGCTTGGATGCTATTGGTATTGTTTGCTTGCACTACAGGAAGAGAGACAGGAGGATACATAGAGAAAAGCAGTATCTAGCTATTTAATTCCTGTGAAATGAGCATGACGTCAGCCCAGTGGCCATGCTTTATACTTCATGGGAATTGCAAGTCAGTTACCACATGTAAAAACATAAAGGAGCAAAATTACTGTAGGTGTAGATTTCTAGTTTGGTTACCTGTGGATTTTAGAATGGCAGTTGCTTTTTTGACTCAGTATTAACATATTTAAATATTTAAATAATGAGCAATACTTTTATACTAATTGTTCTAAAAACAGTCAGATTCATCAAAGCAAAATGATGCCTCCATGGACTTCAGATCTGAAGAAATTCAGAGTTGGCCCAATGCTGGTTGTAACAAGCTTTAGAAAAAACTCAGAAAAAAAATTTAAAAAAACTGTTTTACAGATTAGTGAAGAAAGATATGCCACATTCTGCATTCTTTCTCTTCATATTTTTCATTACAGGAAGATTTAAATGAGATAGGAATCATTGTCTTCCACAGGACATTAAAAAAAGATCGAGCTATTAATGATTGACAGAGTGGGTATTTAAAAAAACTTAACTAGGTATTAGCCTCTGAAAATAAAGTGGCAGAGTATAAGAGTAGCCTTTTTAGTTTCAAATTAATTTAATTAGTGCCTGATCCAGAGTCACAGAAACATGCCAAATATTCTTTGACTTCAGCTACTTCACCAAATCTTTGTAGGTGACTGGCCATTTTGAAGACCAGACCTTCAAGATCTGGGAGTATTAGTAGGTCTGTTGCTGATTTCCACATGCTGGTTTGGTGACAGCAGAGAGATTCTGGTAATTTGACAAAGAGCAAGTGTTATAAGCTGGTACAGTTAAAAAACCAGCCTCTTCTGAAACTTGCAAAACACTTTGCAGGCATTACCTCTAGTTTAGGCTGCATGTGGAAGAAAAAGGTATAAAAATACATAGAAATTTATAACTATGAATGTTTTAAATATCAGCAACACACAAAGGTACCACTGATTCCTTTGAAGTTGCAGACTTCACTAACACAAAAGTAACATAAGCTACAGAGTTCAGCACAGCTTCTAATGAAGTGATGTTATTTGTGATATTGCTGTTGTATACAAATCATGAAGACAAAGAATTTACATGAAATCATCTCATTTCAGTGCTCACATTTATACATGTACAACTCACATTTTTCTTAGAAAACCTTATATATTGAAAGGAAACTAGTATTTAACGCTTTAAAGCAGATTTCTAGGTGGATGCCTTGCTGCATGCTCACATCTTTCTCCCTTTCCATTCCATCATTCATATTAAAATGTTGTAGGCCACGTGACTGCCTGCCTGTAAGTGCTTGAAATAATTTTGCTATAAAACCCAAACAAATTACTTCAGATTTACTTGCAGCCACGAAGATGGAATTCCGTGTCCAGGAGGGCACATGCCCTTTTGCAGCAGAACCATTAGACACAAAGCAGCGTGAATCTGGGAAGGACAGTAAGACTGTTGAGCAACCTAAATATGATGCCTTAGTTCCACAGTCAGCAAAAACAGAGGCTACAGATAAAAAGGATTCAGAGAGCAAAGACAAAGTGCTTTCACCCCCATCAGAATGGATGTTGAAAACTGATTCACAGATGAAAGGGGAAGCCAGTTTTGCAGAACCTGCTGCTAAGCCTCCTGCTCCTCAAGAACAAGAGCACTTGTCATCTCAGCTGCCTGAAGTGAGCAGGGCGGAAGAAAGGACTGCAGGTGTGCCCTCATCAACCAACCAAGTTATGGGTATCACATTTCAAGACAACCTCAAAGATATCCAGGGTGGTGCCATCAGCTATGGGGAAAGTTCTCTATTGCTACCAGAACCCAAGGCAGAAGCAGCCAAAAGTGAACTTCCTTCAGGCCCATCTCCTGCTCTCCCCCAGGAGCTTTCACTCAAAGACAGTTTCAAAACACATCAGGAACCTACTGACCAACTGTTTGCCAAAGATCTCAGTAAAGATGAACAGATCCACAGAGACAGGACATTATCTCTCCAGGAAGTCTCAGCAGTAACTGTAGATGGATTGAAAACTCCAAGCACCCCAAAAATCCCTCCATGGGGAGAGGAAAAGGACATGACTAAGGATGAGAGCGATGAGGAAGAAAGGTACGACTTCTATGATAAAGGGGAGGCTCAACTATTAGATGAGGGTAAAATGACCACAAAATCAGAAGTTAAGACACCTTCCCCAGACAAAACAGACTTTCAAAAGGATGGTGAAAGTAAAAAGTCACCTGATACTCTCAAAGCAGAAAAAGAAACGGACCAAAGTGGGCTCTCAGCAGCAGATGTGAAAAAGGAGGTGCAGCAAAGCACACAGGTACCCCCAGCTAAGTTAAGCCATGAACTGAGTCAGGAGAAAACAGCAGAGCACCCTGATACTGCTCAGTTATCCAGAGTAACAGAGAAAGCCCCTGAGGCACCAGGTTTAACCACTGAGAAGACTCCTACTCTAGAAGCTTCTCAAGAGAAAGATGTTGAAAAAGATACTGAGGAGGATAAGGCAAGTCTTGCAGCTCCTCATCAAATGAAGGAAGAGGAGGATCAGTCAGGAATGTCAAAGTATTTTGAAACCTCTGCTCTGAAAGAGGAAGCCTTCAAAGCAGATGGTCTGAAACAAAGCAGTGATTACTATGAGCTAAGTGACACTAAAGAGAGTAAATACGAGCCTTATCAGAGAGGTCCTCTAATACCTGAAGATGAAGAGGAGGAGGAAGATGAAGAATTAAATCAGCAGCAGAATGTGCATGCTCGTGAAATGGGGTACAGTACCCTGGCTCAGAGCTATACACCAGACACATCTGAAGAACCCAGTTCTCCAACAGAAAGAATGTTCACTATTGACCCCAAAGTCTATGGGGATAAGAGAGAACTTCACAGTAAAAATAAAGATGACCTAACTCTGAGCAGGAGCTTGGGACTTGGGGGGAGATCTGCAATTGAACAGAGAAGTATGTCTATTAACTTGCCCATGTCCTGTCTGGATTCAATAGCCCTCGGATTTAGTTTTGGTCGTGCACACGATCTTTCTCCCCTCGCTTCAGATATTCTAACTAACACTAGTGGAAGTATGGATGAAGGTGATGACTACTTGCCAGCAACCACACCAGCAGTGGAGAAGGCCCCCTGCTTCCCCATTGAAAGTAGAGAGGAAGATGAGCACACAGAAGAAGAAAAAGTGACGGTAGAAGAAAAAGTCCAGCCTGAGACCTTGGCTGAACCATCTTTCCAGGCCAAAGATTACTACAAAAATGGGGCTGTCCTGGCTCCTGACCTGCCTGAAATGTTAGACTTGGCAGGGACAAGATCTAGATTAGCCTCTGTGAGTGCAGATGCTGAGGTGGCACAGAAGAAGCCAGTTCCTTCTGACACTGTTGTGGAAGACAGCAGCACAGCCCTGCCACCTGTGACAAATGAAAACCATGTAATTCTGAAAGCTGAAAGCCAGCTGGAAGACTTGGGCTACTGTGTTTTCAATAAGTACACAGTACCACTCCCCTCCCCAGTTCAGGACAGTGAGAATTTAACAAGTGAAACCTGTCCCTTCTACGAAGGCACAGACGAAAAACTGAGACGTGGCCTCGCTCCTGACTTGTCTTTAATAGAAGTTAAGCTGGCAGCTGCTGAAAAATCAAAAGAAGACTTCCTCAGTGAAAGAGATTTAGGTCAGCATGGTGAGTCCACTCTGGTGAGGGACTTTGAAGAGGAGAAAAAAGAGAAACTGGATACTGTGCTAGAAAAAAGTGAAGATCAAGTTGACTCTAAAGAGGTCTGTCCTATTAAAGGAGCAGAACCAGAGAAGACAAGAGCTGAGGCAGTGTTAGAAAGGAAAGAAGAAAGTGTGGCTAGTAAAGTTCATTTACCTGCTGACACAATGTATGACAGAATTTCTTCTTCAGAGATAGCAATAGAAAAGGATTCTATTTGTTTGTTGTTGGAGAAGGAGAAGACTCTTAGTGTTGTTCATGAAATAGCTGAGATAGCTGATATAGAACTAGAACCTCCAATTAAACCAGATTACAATGCTATTAAGCATGATATGGAGGTAGCTGCAAGGAGAGCTGACCAAGAATATCAGAGTAAGTTAGACACTAAGATCAGTGAGGTTGTTTCTCTTCCATCAGGGAAGGACAAAACCTCTCTTAAAAAAGCAGAGCCTGAACCCAAAGACGCTCAGCAGAAAGAAGAGACCATCTTCTCCAGAGAAGCAAAGGATGCAGATGTACTTTCCAAGACTGAGCTTAGTTATGCAAAGGACAGCACCAAACTGTCAGAAATAGAAATTAAAGAAAAAGTAACTAAGCCGGATCTGGTACATCAAGAGGCAGTTGATAAGGAGGAATCTTATGAATCTAGTGGAGAGCATGATCAAGCCCAAGAAAGTTTGAATGGAGAATCTGTGAAACCGGCGGATATCAAAGCAGAACAACCAAAACCTCCCGTGTCTGGAGAAGAGATGCCTACACAGTTACCAGCTAAGGGGGCTTCTGTGGAGCCCCTCTTTCCAAAAGCTGAGCCTCTCCAGGAGGAGCCTGCTGAGATTCAGATGGAGAGCATACCACAACTCGTAGAAGGAGCTGAAGAGACTCTTGATAGAGCTGTGAAACCTACAGAAACCCAAAAGCTGCTGCCATGTGAACTGGCAGCTGGAGCCCCAAAAGAGGAAGAATATGAGGAAGAGGAGGTGGAAGCAGGGCAAGAAGCAAAAGAAGAGGATAAACAGCATCTTGTATCAGAAATGCCCCCAGAGTTTGGTGAGCCTGCTGCAGAGGAAATGGGAGCCAAGGGTAGCCCAGAAGCCCTGCCTGAGCTGAAAGGCATTATTGAATCTGTGGTGACAGTGGAGGATGACTTCATCACAGTGGTGCAGACAACAGTTGATGAGGGTGAATCTGCTTCTCACAGCGTGCGCTTCGCTGCCACTCAGCAGGAAGACATTGAAACAGGAGACTCCCAGGCTGAGGAGGAGCTGGATGTTGAAGAAGTGGAGATTGAGCCCAAGGAAGGCTCCCGAGAGGCTCCTGCTTCACCCCAGAGAGAAGAAATCCTGCTCACTAACTACAAAACAGAGACGTGTGATGATTACAAAGATGAAACAACAATTGATGACTCCATCATGGACACAGACAGTCTCTGGGCAGACACTCAAGGTGTGCATTATCCTTTCTGTTTTGTCTGTTGAATATTTTTGCTTCCAAATCATAATGATTGAAAAGCAAAATTATTACAGTTATAATAGTAATCTCAGCATGTTTCAGAGAAATGGTAAAAATAGTTTGCTTTTTTAAAATTAATCATCTGCTCTGTCTTCAACTATTTTTTCCCTGCTCCTCTGAAGTATTGTTAACATTTGTTACTAATATTTTGTTTGTTGTTGTAATTTGCTCTGATCCTACAGATGATGATAGGAGCATCATGACTGAACAGTTAGAGACTGTTCCTAAAGAGGAGAAAGCAGAAAGAGAATTGAGAAGATCATCTCTTGATAAGCATAAAAAAGAGAAACCTTTTAAAACTGGGAGAGGCAGGATTTCTACACCTGAAAGGAAAATAGCTAAAAAGGAACCTAGCACACTCTCCAGAGATGAAGTGAGAAGGAAAAAAGGTTCATTTCACACTCCTATTACAATTTTTTTTATTTTCTTACTGTTTTACAGTACTGTCTGGTTACTCTGCTGTAGATTATGTGCACCATGGCATTATTAACGGTAGTGTTTTATAACGAGATATTGTACAACTATGTGAGAAGCCATGTCCAAGGCTCATTGCTCCACTGGTCCTGTTTCATTGTGGACATCCCTATTGATTACTGGGTAATACTTCTGAGCCAATGCACCAGTGCTCCCCCTCTTGCAGCATAGGATTTGTTCCCCTCAGAAGAAGCAGCGCGTTGGGTTGGAGTTGTGGGGCAGTGGGCCTGACACTTGACTTATTGATCATGTGAAATGGTTTGCTGGGTTTTTTTCTGATTCTGTGTTTTTGTGTTCTTTTTGTCCATAGCAGTGTATAAGAAAGCTGAACTTGCTAAAAAAACTGAAGTTCAGGGCCACTCTCCCTCCAGGAAAATAATTTTAAAACCTGCTATCAAATATACTAGACCAACTCATCTCTCCTGTGTTAAACGGAAGCAGACAGGTGACTGCGTTCTGTTCAGTTATGCAATGTGGCTGGCAAACATAGACATTTTCTTTTGTAAATCTCATAGCTCTAGCAGCTTCTCTATTTTTTTTTTCTTCCAAGAGTGTCAATCTTCACAAATAGAATTGCTTTTTTAGTGTTTTGTACCATTTTTCTTTTATTCTTTCTTTCTTTCCTGGTATTTGTTTGTTTGTTTGATGGAGGCCATGATCATGTATGCTTGTCATTGCTTGGGCCTCCAAGTGCTGTGATTGTAACTTGGCATCGTGCTTAGAGTGTGGTGTTCTAGGAATCTCTATCATCTTTTAATTTGTGGATGATTTTTTTTCTTTATTTTGTAAATTTTTTTTAATTATGCTTTATTTTTTTTTCTGGTGGGAAAATGTTGGCAACTTAAATCATGGTATGCATTTCCATTCTTCTGCTTTTTTACTCTCATGCATAATAAGAAGTGTTTCAGACTTATATTTTGTTTATTGATGTTATCTGCATTGATAATTCCCAATCTGTCACTGATGTTTATGCTGTGCAGTCAAAATCCACAGGGAGAATCCAGCCACATGCAGCATGGAGCTGAGAGAGAAGAAATCTGGGCTCACACTGCGAAATGCATTCCAAGCAAAAAATCTTAATATTTGGTAGAGGAAGATAAAAGGAAGAAAGAAACGATTCCTGTTACGACTTCATAGGTGTATCATTATTTAGAGGACCAAAATGACTCTTCCAGCATTTTCACATATTATTCATGGTTTCTGTGGGTTCCAGGTGGAAGGACAAACATCTTGACTTTCATTGTGATCTTAAAACTGCTAAAAGAGGCCAGGTTTTCTGTTGTGTAACGTGGCCACATGCTGTAGTGTGGTTGTTTGGAACTTGGGATAATAAGAGAAAAACCAGGCACAGCAATGCAGAAGTGCACAGGCATCTTCTCACAGCTTAGAAATAACAAGGAATATTCATTACCCATCATGTGGTTAAGCAGAGCAATACCAAAAGTGTCTCCAGGCTGTGATTCCCCTGCAGTTTTGCACCAGTCCCTCTTGTTGAGGATGCAGACCAGCCCCAGCAGAGAGGTGTGAGCAGTGAAAATGCAGTAAGAGAATGGTTTAGAGCAGGTTTGGTCTCATGCCTCTGCTGTATGAAGTGTGGATTGTATCCTGGCTGTGTTCCACTGGGACACCAGAACCATGCCATCCCCTTTGCTCCTGTGACAGAATCTCACCCTTTTACTTCCCCCTCTCAGGAGAAATAAAAGGAAAGGAAAGGCTGCTTCAGTCCCCTCTGTGTTGCACTGATGTCTCCTCCTCAGTTTGCAGTCTCTGGGCTGTCCTAACTTGCACTCTGAACCAGAACTACCCAACAGGGAGGAATTTTAAAACAGAGTTAAAACATTTCTCCTTGCTATCTCTTGCTGCTTGCTGAAGCACAGCTTGATAGCTCAGAAGTTACAACCCATAATTCTCATGTTCTTTCAAAAGCCCCAGGGGAATTCACTAAGCTGTGGACATGGGTGGGGGAAAGGCACTGGCTTTGTAGTGTTCTCAACTTCATCTACACTTGTACAGCTGTGTGGTCAAAGCTGTCATGCCCTCAGCTACCAGGGCATGACAGCTCTGACCACAGGCTACTCACTCTACCACTGCCTCCCCTGAACTGTTCTGACCCTTAGGAGCCCAAAAAGAACTGAGTCATACCAATGGACTTGGATAAAACCTGCCCTGTGCCTGAAACTTGTGCTGCCTTGGCAAATCTCAGAGGTTTTTCTCTCTAACTGCAATGCACAGGGAACCAGATGTCTTAGTCAAAGTGAGAAACATAACACAAAAACTACCCGCCTTACTTAAGTCCTCCCCTCTTTAAGTCCTGAGGTAGGAAGCAACCAAAATGATGGACCCAAACTGATCATAGAACCTTCAGAAATGTGGCTTGAACTTTGAGCTCTAAAGCAGAGGAGTGGAAACCATGCCAAAAAGTGACCAAAAATATTTCTTAGAATGTTTCAGCACACTCGCTGTTGCTGGAGAAATTACAGTATGCCTTATTTTCTTCTACCACCCATATTTATACTTCCTTATGGGACTTGAGGGAAGACCATGAGAAAGACTGCAATGGTGTGTGATATTCTAAGAGTGCAGGTGGTCACATGTTATCTTACATCTCCCTGAGTTTGATTGTGTCATGCAGGTCTCTCCAGGATCTGGAATCTAGAGGGACATTGTCTTTCCCCCATTTTCTTTTTAACTGAAATACAGCACTGTTTCTTGAAGCCAGTTTTGACTGTCAGTGCATCCTGTTTGGAGTGGTCTTGTTAGTTTTAGTGATGCCTGGGTAATGAAGCCCACAAAAGTTCTTGGCAGTGTAGTCCACAGAGCTTTGAGTGTGTTGCAGTCAGTTAAAATCTCCACACAGCATTAACCATGACTTCAAAATGAAACATGTCCAGTCATAAGATACAGGTATCTACCAAAGGAAGTTAATGTCTGCTTTTATGTTTTGCACAATGCCCGGGGAAAAGTACATTTTCCCCTTAATGCCCCTCAATACCTGAAAAAAATTTCCCACATCACTGGGAAGCACTGGGAGGTACCAGTAACTTACAGAACCATATCCACGAGGCAGGGACTGGTTTTTGAGAGACTTATCCTTGCCATTTGAAAAAGAAATTGTAAGGCCAACCCTGATGAGAGAGTTGGGAAGTCTTTGCCTTGGCTGGTGTAGTCCATGAGTGAAACCCCCAGCCTGGCCTGGGTTTTGTTGGTGGCTGTGAGATGCTACTGCAGGTGTGTTATCAGAGGAGTGTTTTTGGAGGCAAGGCCAGGACAATGACCTGGCCATTATATGCCTCTGTTTCTTGTTTTCAGTTCTGGGGTCACCCCCTGAGCTGAAACAGGTTTGTAGGGCCTGTAGAAATCTTGTGTTCAGAGGAGTGGTGGTTGTTACCAGGCACATTGGCACAAGTGACACAGCTTTTCTTCCAGCTCCCAGTGTGACTGGTTAGGGATGAATGCCGAGGGAAGGAGGAAAGAAGCTGTTTGTGGTTATCTAGAAGAAATGAAAACCAGACCCAAGCAGTAACAGCTGTGGTAAATGTGACACGGGAAGGCTCTGCTGTACTCACCTCTTAAAAAATTCAGAAGAACTGAAGTAGGCAGTTATATATTCTTTTCCTCCTCACAAGTTCTCTCTCCTACACCTTGGACTAGAGTGGGTAGTGTGACAGAAAACCAGGGATAACCTCACCATGCCTGGAGCTGCATAACAAATGGGAAAAATTAACTTGACCTTTCCTGTATGAGGAATTAGGATTGGTTTAAAGTTGGAAAACAGTTGCGTTTATAGCAGAAGGTTGTCATTTGTGATTGTTGTCCTACTTCTTCTTTTACCAAGGGCATCCTGGCACAGGTGCCAGAAGATTTCATGTTAGTTGTTAAGTGGCACATCACTTCCTAAGCAGCAGCCTTAGGGTGAAGCTGATAACCTGCTTTCCAAAAAGCTGTCCCATTCAAAAACCAGTGTGGATGGATTTCAGGTCCAAGAGAAACATCTTACCTCAAACCATGTTGTATCAAATAAATGAAATACTGAGTTAGCATTCTTGATGTCCCAGATAAACCTTGAATTTCTAAATTCTTGAGAGCTTAGTTGACCATGACATGCTGCCCTTATTGACACAACTAGGATGAAAATTCAACAGTGACTCTCTCTCTATCCATTATGAATGTTGGCTAATATTTTGAAAGTGGTGACTATAGAGACCTCTCTTACAATTTTGATTTATGGATGATTTAAAGAAGCTTGATTTTTAGAGGACAGTCCTGAAAACCAGGCTGTAAGTTTTCTGAGGATTGAACAGAAACTTATATTTGTCAACTATTTCTGGAACTTTTTTCTTTTAGTTTGTAGACTTATAGGTACATGAATACAAAATTTCATTTTGTTCAAAACACATAGAATACCATTTTACCTCAAGCAAGATGAATGCAGAAAAAATTTAAGGCAAGTAAATGTCTGCATAGAGTTCTGGGTATTTCACAAAGTACTTGCTTTGCACAGTAGTTTCAAGGCATTTAATTGGTCTAACAAGTGTACTGAATGGAAATGCTTATTATTACTGTCTTTAACTATCAAGTCTTTCTTTGGATTTCTCAGCAGCAGGTGGTGAAACAAACCAGGCTCCTGCTGTATTTAAACAAGCAAAGGAAAAACTCTCAGTGAGTAAAATAATCTTATTGTTCATCTTTATAATCTCCTTTTGCCCTTATTTTACATCTTTTTGTGTTAATTCAGTAAGTAATTGTGTGTTCCATTTAAAGTTTGTTCACCATTTTCATTATTAATTTAAAAGGATAATTAAAACCAACCTTCCTGAATAACCTTAGAAGTCTAGTCTCAAGTGGTAGATGGTGACAGTTTGCAGACCCACAGAGGGCACACAGACTCCAAACTGCAGGACTTGAAGTCTGGGCAGCATTTTGAGCCAGGCCATTCTGTGGGATAAGCTGCATGTCCTGGCCCTTCCTGCAGCACCCAGCTTGCATTGGCACCTTGCTGCACTGCTGGGTGTTACAAAACCACAGAAGGCAGAAGCCCACCCCAGGACTGCTGGATATCTCCTGGTGTGCCATTCCACAGCCCAGTGTTCTGCAGGGGCCATGCCTGTGTAGGAGTTACTGGCCAGTAGAATTTACATTTGCTGCTTTCAGTATGGCCACTGTCTGTGCTATAGTCTGTCAGATTACAACCCTGCCTTGCCTTGCTTTGCCTTCAGCTGCTCTACGGCCTTTTCTGCTTCCTGTGTCTGGCTCTCTTAAGCAAAGACTCCCTTGCTCCTTGCTGACCCTCCACTGTTTCTGTCCCAACCCTCCAAAATCCTCAGGAAACCAACCTCCATTCACTCTCCCCTATGCAATTATTTTAGCCATGACAGTGACACATGCTAATTCACAGCTGCAGCACAACACTTTGTCATTGTTATCACAGAATCATAGAATATGTTGAGCTGGAAGGGACTCATCAGGATCATCAAGTCCAACTCCTGGCCCTTAGCAGGACCAGCCCCCAGCAATAACAATTAAAATTTTCTTTAGAATTTTTCTGAATTCCCTAATATATTTCTTAGTATATTCCATGGGTGATTTATTTTGTTTGTTAAACCAGGCTCTCAGTTCTTTGGGACTGCGTCACATGAAGTGCTACACACTGTTTATGAATTGTGAGAAACTGGTAGTGCTGAGAGCACTTTTGGAGGCTTTGGAGGAGCCATGGTTTTTCAGGTCTGACCCATTCCAGCTCAGAACTGGGAAAGTATTAGAGCTTCTTTACAAGTGACTAAGATCTGGGCAGGTTTGTGGGCTGAGTCTGAGCATGTTTTATTACTATCTTTTCCTGACAGACCATCAACACTTGCACAAGAGATGCCAATACTTGCCCATTTTCAGTGTTTATGGAGTGCTCTAGTACAAGCACTGCAAAATCATTCTGTGAAATGATCTTTCTGTATGTCTTTCCTATTCCTGCCCCTTATGTTATAGCACACATCAGAAAGCTGTCCCCTGCCTTATTTCTCTCCTGTTGCCTTGTCTCTCTGGTTGCCACACTCACACACCTCTTGGATATTTTTTTTTCTGTGCCTTGTCTTTGTCTCTGCTTTTATAAAGATCTCTCTCTATTTTTGTTGTTTTGTTTCTTTGTGGTTTTCAGCTTTTATGTCTTTCATGTCCTGCAGTCTTTTCCTCTCCACTGGTAATGTTAGGTCATCCAGCCTGGTCAGTTTTGTTATTCATGTTGAGACTGCAGTTTACACAGGACAAGTTCAGAAAAAGCTAAACAGTTCCATCTGCTGGAAGCAGCTGTGTACCTGCAGTTCACAGTGAGGTGATGAAAACCTGTGCCATGTGTTAGGAACACCTTGAAATAAAATGAGGGTTCTGCATCCCCACTTCAGCAATCCCTCAGTCACATAGATCTTTGTCCTCTGGGCAGCTGACCCTTCCAGCAGCATAAATTAAAACAGAGGTCAGAGGGGAAGTATTGCTACCAGAGACTGAGTTTTCCTGCAGGGATTGAGACATGGCTGCTTTGCTTGCTCAACCAGCTCTGGGCAGGTTCTGCTGCTATAGCTGATGCTAAAAGTGCCTTGATACCTAAGTAACATGGAGGGACTCCAGACTGTGATAACCAGAGCTGTGCAGTAGCTCAAGGCCATGCCTTTTCCCCATCTGTTCCACTGACAGATCTCAGTGTTGTCCATCTTTAGCATCCACATTAGATACATGGATTCACAGAGGACACTGAGCCATATGAGTGAAAAGTCTTTTCACTGTGACTAGAACCTTAATCTACAAGAGTTTTTCAGTCTCGTTATTGGGGTGATTCCTTGCATGCAAGTTCAAAATGGTGAAAACCACAGAATGAAGATTTGAGCCTCAAGCAATGTGTGCTTAGTTCTATCTCTAGTTCAGAAAGCCAGGTGAAAGGTGCTTGCAGAATGTCTGCTTCTTGGGGCCACCCAACATAAATATTCCACAGAGTTTCAGCATCAGTAAATACCTTCATGGATTTCTAAACATGATCCAAAGTTTCACAAATGGATGAGACCCATAAACTGAACTGTGACAAAACAGTCAAATTCTGGAAAAGCCTTTGATTTGACAGAAACTCATATTCTGTAGTTTCTGTGTAAAATAATTATTCACTGGTTTTCCTCTGTTTGTTCTCAGACAGTAAAATAAGTATTAAAAAAGAAAGAGGCGTAAATATGCTGCAAAACGCATTATGGGAATATGTTCTTGCTAGTAAAGCACTTCCATCCTAATTTCTTGACTTGCTGCTTGGTCTGGAGGAGGACATCCAATAGATGTCCTCCAATAGATCCAATAGAACTCCTCTCAGCTGCACTGTGGGACTGGAATTGATACACAGTTCTGTAGCTCTTACTCACATGAGTGATGTCACAGATGATATTCAGTCTCAGTTTTCCATAGGCTGAGCGTATAGCCTAAGCTAGAGGCCTGTCAGAGCTGGACAGCCCATTCTTTTCTCATTTTCTAACAAGACAACTTAAAAGCAGCTCATGTACCTTTTCTGAACATTGGGAAAGTCTAGGGGATTGATTGAGATCAAATGCCAAGTTTAGTGCTCAAGTTCAGTGCAAATCCCAGGAGGACAGGCCCATTGGGATTTGTACATAATTTCATGCTAGTATGACTACAGAGAGGATAAGGACTACCTTTGCAACTGCTCTTTGTAATATCAGTTGTACCTATAGAAAAAAACCCAGTGTTTCTTAAGCAAGTAGCCTATTCGGTTTCAAGGAGATTCTTTTTTTGTAAAGCAGTAGGATGCTCCTAAGTATTAACAAAGATTTTCTGTCTGTCCTGTTGGTGTTTAATTGTTCCTTCAATGGGATATTTTAATTATTTGGTATCAAACAAGTATTTGTTCACATTAACATACCATGTCAGCCCTTCAACCATGTCTGCTTTCCTCATCCCAGGACTGCATACAAATATAAATTTACTCCATACAAAAATGAAAATACTCCAATACAAAATACTCCAATACAAAAACAAAAATACTCCATACAAATATAAATTTGTGAATTTCTATGGAGTGACACCAAATGCACAGAGCAGCATCTGGGGTGTGTTAGAGATTTTGTCTGTACACAGTGGCAAAAGAAGGGAATTACTGTTGTCCTCCTGCTGTTGTGGGAATACTGGTGTAACTTTGCTTCTAAGATTCCCACTGTTTTATTCTTGATTTTAGCCTGCAGGAATGTATTTCAACTTTAAAGGGCTGGGATCCCTTGGTGCTCCTGTAGCTTTGCCCTTGTTTCTAATGCAGCAGTTGTATCAGTTAAATGCCACACCTGGCACCAGTTTTTTTCCTAATAACACAAGATCCAAACAGCATCTGCAGGAAAAGGCAGATTCCTAGAATTGGTAACTCTGTCCAGACCAAGGATTTCAGTCAAACAACACAAAACTGAAACTTCCATGATTGTCAGATCTGCATAGACCATTACCAGACGCAGGAAAAGTATTATTCATAGCTTGGCTTTTTTTTGTTTTGTTTTGTTTTGTTTTGGTCCATGTTGCATGTGTTTTCATTTTGTCCAGCTTCATGTTGTGTTTTGTTTGTTTTCTCATGACTAGACTGCCTCTTTGTCAAAGATTCCTGCCTCAAAGTCTAGAGCAAAGTCATTGCTTCCTCCAAGACCCAGCTCAGCTTGCTCATTAACCACTAAAAGGGCCACATGTCTGGATACAGACAGTTTATTTGTTCGGCCCTCCTCTGCAGGCCCAAGAGACTCAAAATCAGATGCTAAGGTAAGGTAGCAGAGTTGGTGGAGAGAGTCAGAGATGCACAGGTGAACTCCATGAGACACATTATCTACCCATTGATTTTTTGATTAATTCTCTGTGAAGCTCCTGTCGGATTACTTACTTCCAGTGGCAGGAAAACTGATTAGCAGGCTACAAGATGGATAAAAATGGAGATACTCCACAGGAAATGTAAATGAAGTTATAACTAGAAAGACACATCTTCTTTCTGTTGATCATATGGATGCTACTTCATTAACTACCAAGAAGTTACAGCCATTTGCAAGTGAGTAGGTGGTAAAGAGCACCAGGACCAATTTGCCCTCCAAGTTTAAAAAACTGTAATTTTTGACCTGTTAATATTCTTCAAAATGAAGTTCAGCCTCCAGCATAAGAGGGTACAATTGTAATTACCAGCAGTAGGGGACGTAATAGGGCAGAAACCAAATGTCAAGGACCAAATTTAGTCAGTGCATAGGACTTTGTGAAGAAGTTGCAGTATAAATTTAAAAAGATGATTGGCAGTCCACTCCAGCTTCTCCATATTTACATTTAACTTGTGTTTCAAATGTACATTATGGTGACTTAACTATCCCCATTTAAAAATTGGTTTTGCCCTTGACTTTCATTTTTTGTTTAATGTCATATTTGGTGTGTCTTTTACTGATTGGGACCATTATCATTTGTCTTTAGGAAGAATGTCTGCTTATGCTGGTCTGTCTTTGGCTGCACATCCCATAAACTCAAAAATATTCTAACATACATGTCCATTGCCCTAATGGTAAAGGTTTACTTTACTCTGGTAAAGAGAAGGTATGCACTGATTTCAAAAAGTAAGCATTTTATTATAGAAGGAATTAAAACAGCAGGATTTATAATCCAAATTCAGGAAAAAAGAAAAAAAAAACAAACAGAAAATACCATCAAAGCCTGTAGCTAAAAATTTATGTCCATAAGAAATTTACAAGTTAGTGTTTGAATATGCAAAAATCACACAACAGGTACCAATCTAGTGTCTGGACACCAGTAGTGCAGTTACTTTGCAGGTAAATTCATATAGGAATTTCACACTTGAGCTCTAGAGAGTTTACTTTCAATTTGCACTTAAAAACCCCACTCTTTTTTCCTTAGTAAGAGCCAGCTGTGGAATCCATATTTAGATCCAAGAATATCCCTAGATGTCTCAGGATAGTAATCAGAAGAGGTTTGGATGCCGTAAAGATGCACCAGGGAGCTAAGTTAGAGCATGGAGGGTGACTGATCCCAAACTGGGCCCACAGGATTAGGTTTTCCCCTCTGTGTGTAGATACAGGAAATCATAGCCCAAAGAGTGAGGTTTGCAAACTAAACCTTTCTTTGTTGTTGTGCTGCTGTAGGATGGAGTAAGCAAGAGCCCCGAGAAGCGTTCATCTCTGCCAAGGCCTTCCTCCATCCTCCCTCCTCGGCGAGGTGTTTCAGGAGACAGAGACAGAGAGGAGAACTCCCTGTCCCTCACATCCTCTCTCTCCTCCTCAGTACGACGGACTACCCGTGAGTTGTCTCTTTATTTTGCATATTCACCTTCTCTTGCTTTGGTGGTTGTCTCCATCCTCGTGAGATTTGTCACATTGCACAGCCTCTGACACAGAGGAGTGGCTCTGGGGTGTGCTGTAGTGTAGCCATGATATTTTCTGAAAAATCCTTTCTTTAGGATTTTTTCTCCTGAGAAGCTGAGAGGCCTCAGGAACAAAATGTAAACAATGATTATCTGCTGCTGTGGAATGCAACAGGTGCATCTGTGATTGGTCTCATGTGGTTGTTTTTAATTAATGGCCAATCACAGTTCAGCTGTCCGAACTCTCTGTCCGAGCCACAAGCCTTTGTTATTGATTCCATTCCTTTTCTATTCTTAGCCAGCCTTCTGATGAAATCCTTTCTTCTATTCCTTTAGAATAGTTTTAATATAATATATATCATAAAATAATAAATCAAGCCTTCTGAAATGTGGAGTCAACATTCTCGTCTCTTCCCTCATCCTGGGACCCCTGTGAACACCGCACGCTGTAGAACTGGTTTTGTTCACATGCCAAGTGCCTGAAAACAGGGACAGGATGCACCTGCAGTGCCCAGAGCAAGGTCTGCTGCCCAGATTAATTGCTGATATTAGAAAATGCCTTTGCAGGGAGCTCAGAGCTGGGTGAGGTACTTAACACAGAGCATTTACAAACAGCAGCAAGGAATAATGAGTCAAAGCTGAAGCAGACAACCTGAAATATTCTGATGGGTCTTGGAAAAGTGAACCTGATAGTTAGAGTCATTTATTTGCTGCTTCCCAGTAATTATCTCCCTATGCTCTACTCCTAGGGTAAAATTTCTGCTGAGAGTTGAGATGTTAAGTAGCAGAGTGACTCACTGGGGGCAGTGAACCAGCTAGGTTCCTTTTATGAGGACCAAAGTTATCAAATCACAAGCCAAAATAAATTACAGGACAAAGACAATTTACTAAATAACCCCAGAACTTTTAGCCAGGCCTTAGAACCTGCATGTGGCTTCTTGCTTTCCAATAGGAGTTTCTGTCTTCTCTCTTTAGAAACCAGTCTCAGCTCTTTTTAAGACAGCTTAAGGGAAGTAGATGATTAAATTCTGCAAAAAAAGTCATAAGTGATGCACCAAAGGTGAAACAGAGACTCTTTGAAAGCAGAGTGACTTCCAGCTGCCACAGCAACCAGCCCATTCTCCTGACCAGGAGTGAGAGGCCATTAAGCATTTGGCAGGTGATGAAGAGCTGAGAAATGAAAAGTAAATACACCAGGCCTGCAAGGAGGTGGGAAAAAAAATCACTTTCTGTCTCAGATGGTATAGTAAGAAGCTTTAGGGTTGGTTTGGAAAGAAAGAAACCTGTTTAGGGAAAGGGGAGGTGAGTGGGGTATGTTCAGTCTGCCTAATGAATCATGAAGAGCAAGGAGTGTCTCCTGAGCCCCAGGGACAGGAGTGCATTGGGTTTGGGCCACCATCATTGCACAAACAGAATGATAATACATAATATAAGAATCTGTCCCCCTGGATGGATTTGAGAGGCCCATTGGATTTATAATTTCTGAATATTTGAAGAGTGAAAGCATACATGCACCCATTTGCCATTGGGGTTCCCAAGTTTTGAGAGTTACCTTCATCTTTCTCTCCATAAGTATTCTCAGCAAAATTTAACTTTGGAGATACCTCAGCTTCTGTTTATTTATGTTTGAGAGTTAGAAGCAGAGCTGGCTGCAGAAAACACAGCTAGACTGATCCTTGTGCCCAGTGAAAAGGACTGGCAATGCCATAAACGCTGAATGGAGCTGCTACAAAATGATAGAGTTGGGGGTTTTTTTACTTGCATGGAAATAAAAAAAAAACATTACCAGAGACAAGGTAATGGTTTTTATCAAGGCTGTCTCTGGTAATGTTTTTTTTTCACAGCACTAACAAAAAATAGCAATTGAATGTGAGGACATCTACCCATGCACACACCAGAGCTATAGCTTGTGCATCAGTTGAATGCCCACCTGGGGTTCATCTGCACTTTACTATCAGTGGTATGAGAAACAGCTCCAGCCAGGCACTCACAGCTTTTAATTTCAGGAATGTCGTCAGAATTTTTACTGCTTTCTAGTTTATTGCCCAGATCCACTGAAATTGGTTGGATCAAGTCCCAGAGGTTGGATTCCAAGGATGCTTCTCGTCCTTTGCCCAAAATGGAAATAAATGTGATGATGTGCCTTGTTTAGGCAGCTTTGCAGGGGTATTGTGGGAAGCACTCCTGTGGTACACAATGGAGAGCTCAACCTCTCATGGCCAGGTAATTCCTGTCAGGTTGATTAGCCAAGTAAGACACAGAGTGACCCATTCCTGCTGCTGTTCCAGCAGCAGCACTGTCACCTGAAGAGCTGTGTCTTGCATGGCACACAGGGATGCACTTTTGGGAGTACAAAGGGAAGAAGAGCTGTACTTCTGTGCCTCTAAAGCTGATTGTTTTTTTCTCTTGCATGTAGGATCAGAGCCAATTCGTAGCAGAACGGGAAAAAGTGGAACTTCTACCCCCACTACTCCTGGCTCCACTGCCATCACTCCAGGGACACCACCAAGCTATGCCTCCCGTACCCCAGGCACTCCAGGGACACCCAGTTACTCCAGAACTCCCCACACTCCTGGGACCCCCAAATCTGCAATACTGGTACCTACTGAGAAAAAAGTTGCCATAATCCGCACTCCTCCTAAATCTCCAGCCACTCCAAAGCAGCTACGAGTTATTAATCAGCCTCTACCTGACCTCAAGAATGTCAGGTCCAAAATTGGGTCAACAGATAATATCAAATACCAGCCTAAAGGAGGGCAGGTAAGGATTCCACTCTTCATATTCACCCATATGTTATTTACTCTTTTGTGTGCACCTTTGTGACAGGAGACATCTTGAGTTGCCTTATAAAGCTACTTGTGTTCTCCAAATCCCTTTCTTGTTTAAGTGATGTTAAATGGCAGAGAAGAGGACAATCTTCAGAACTTAACTGTACCTGCTGTAGGTCTTCCAGAGAAAAAGAACAGGCTCATATTTTAAACAGTGAGCTATCTCTAAGGTGTTGATCTGTTTTCATGGTAAATTACCACATTCAGTACTTTCCAGGATTTGCACAGTAGCCAGTTACTCATAAAGTCAAAGAGATAATGCCTCAGCAAAGGTACTTCTGCCTTTATTTTGACAGGTGTGATTATTTTGCATGGGAGCTCCACTCCATTTGCTGTACCAGGTAGTAGATATGGGTGTGCAGGGACTCCAGCAACACAAATTCAGACTGTGCTCCTGGATTAGCATTCCTCTTACTGACCCAGCTGTTGGACTTAAGGCCTGAAACCAGCACCATGGTACCCTCCTCCTCCTCCTCCTCCTCTCTGTCACTCTCTCTGGGCTGTAACAATTTTACAAGAACCAGGAGGCCACAGCAAATTGTGTTTCTTTGTAGACACCATGCCTAGACAGCTGAATGTCCTTAGCAGCTCTAAAGAACTGCTCAGAGTCTTTGAGCAGTGAAGGATGGCACAGGATGGCATTTCACTGCTGTGGGCATTCCAGGGGAAATCTGCACATGACTGAAGCTAAAGCGTTTTTTAGTTCAGTGGCATGTAACCACTGAGCTGTGGGTTGGGCAAAGAGAAGCTCATTAAAGTTTTCCTTCATGTCTCCTTTATGCCATAGTTGCTTAGTCTAGACAAGAGGTTTTAGGATAATTCTTTTCCAGTTTCTGCAGTTGAATTTTAGAGGGTCTGTGAGAGCAGCACATGAAAGCTAATTTCATTTCCTTGTGTCTGCTCAGTTCTTTAATGTCTGGTAGCAATATTACCCTGGCTGAAATGAGCTGTTATGTGCTATTTGCTTTTAGTGATGATACATGAAACAAACAGAAAGCTTCTTGTTAACCTGAACTGGAAGTGCTGATAGCAACAGGAAAAACAAGCAGAGAAAAACCCAGCATGTATTTGGGCAAGTGAAGTACATAAACATAATATGCAAATGACTAAAGGAGTACAGATAGGCAGCCCAAAAGTGTCATTTCAAGACTGACTATCCTTTTACCAGTGGTATATTTGAGCCTGGCACAAGGACTTCTCTTAACTTTGAGCTGTTCTAGAGAAAACTGCACTCTGAAACTGCCAGAGGCTGGATTGCAAAATTGAAGAAGCTCTTGGGGATGTTTGAATGCTAAATAAATCAAGAGGTGCAGTGCTTCAGCCTGGAATTTTATCAAAAGCTCATCAGACAGCAGACTGATTTTCCTTCAACTCTGACTTGCCAGGCACAGAAACAAAGAAAAGGGGAAAAATCATTCCACCTGATGGGGGTTGTGTGAGTGTGGTGTGTGAAGAGAATGCTTTTAGGGGAAGGAACAAGCTAACTTTGCACTGCATTAAGCTCCCCCTAGGAACAGAGGGTTTGAAACATTTTAGTGTTTTAATTGGTATTCTGCAGTGGAGAGAAGTGAGGGCTCTCTGCTCTGTGGTGCAGCCAGGAGGTGCTTGTCTGGTTTTCTCTTTCTGGTACAGTGTGGTGAAATGGATCATCACTGGCAAAGCTCAGAGGAGACTTGCTCATGGGTATGTCTGCTGGGCTTCAGATGGATTTTCACACTGCATCAGCTGGGGAGGAAATGCTGTGCTCACAAAAGTAACGCATTTGCATCTGTTATTTCTCAGACAGCCCAAGGGAAGCATGGGGAGCTGGGAGAGGGTGTTGGAAATCTGTTTTAGATGCCAAGACTGATTTTTTTCTTGTGTTTTTTTGGTTCAGATTTTCGGTTTTCCTTTTGAAATTCTGTCTATGGATGTGGTTGGTACCATATCAGAGTAGAGAAGTGCACTGATTGAGTATTTTCATTCCTGGCAAGGCAGAGTATTTAGAATGCTTCATGGACCAGCAACCAAGGATAAAACTAACCTAGATTTCTCTTAATTTTATCTTAAAATGTATACCTAAAATCTCAGCCACAGGCAAGAACTTCAGTGGATGTGAAGCAGCAGAGCATCATCTAAGTGAATGGAGCTGCATAAACTAGAATTACATGCATGAGCTTTAAAATGCCACTAATTATAGTGACAGGCAGGCACCTTGTAAGAAGTAAGATGACACATAGAAAAAAGAAATACCTAAGTCATGCTGAAGAATGAAATGTTCCATGAAGGTTTTTAGGAAGATTAAGGAAGAACTTCATCATCTTCCCTAAACTGTAGAAAACAAAATGCAATTAGTAATGAGTCAGAAAGTTTGAACAAATTGATGACACCACTATTCAGTAGATGCTTTCCAAAAACCACAGAAATGCCTACAAGGAGAATAGGCTTTTTCATTAGGTGATAAAATGGACTGGCACTGGTAAGACATCTCAGAGGTGGGCAGATGAAGAGGCTTGAATGGGTATCTTAGCTTCAAAATCATTTTGGATTAATGATTAATTGATTTTTTTTGCCTTGTCTTCTTTTATATATTCTCTGTGTTTTTACATATAAATTTTGTCTTGATTTGAAAAGACAGGTGTCTGCTAATGAAGACAGGAGCCTCTCTTGAAATGTAAAATGTAAACCCCTTGCCTCTGAATTATTATAATTTTTGAGATTAAGGGGCTCTTGGGCAAAGATATGGGAGTAGGAATAACAGTTCTTTATAAAGAAAAATAAAAATGCAGTAATACAAAACAACACTGCCAGAGTCAGAACAGGCCCTGCCCCCCTGTGTGTCAGGGAGGTGGCACAGCCCCATTCCATGGTGGCTCAGCCCTCCTGCAGTGCCAGCTGTGCTTCTGCTGGAGCAGGGATCCTGCACAAGGGGGGAGTTTTCCTCTGAAGCTCCAGGGGTGCTGGAGATGGGCCTGGGCTCCCTCTGGGAATGCAGGGGAGGAGAAAGCTGCTCCTCTGGGAATGCAGTGGGCAAAGGCTGCTGTGGTGTTCCCAGTGTCAGATTGTATCCAGGTAGGAATGCTTGGCTCTTCCCCTGGGCAGAGCATCTCCCCATGGGATGATGGAATTTTATCAGCCATGCAGGGACACTCACTGGCTGTGAACAGAAGAGATCTCCTGGAGGGAGGATGGGTGTGGCAGAGATAAAGAACACTGCCCCACCTGGTTCTAACAGGTGGCCCAATTAACAGAAGATGGCTGCCCCACCTGGTTCCAACAGATGGCCATAGAATGTACACCCCCGGCCACATCTTGCATTTCCAACCTAAGACAATTTGTAGCTCTGTATCCTATTATTGTATTTGTAGCTTATCTCCAGTACTTTTCCTGATTCTACCCAATAAGCAGAAATACAAAACACATTCCAAAGGTTCCAAGCTGGGGATTTGAGGCTCCTGTTCTATCTTGGTTTTTCCTGGGAACCAAGGTTGAGGCCAGCTCTTCCAGACATGTTTTTATAAACAGTTTAGCCCCTATCTAAAGAGGGGGAATTTGAAAAAGAGTTGAACTGGGGCGATTACCTCACCAGCCATGCTTCTAACTGGGGATTTTTGTCAGACATGCTAATTGGTAAACCCTATAAAAAATGTATATACATTATGCTGTGTGTACGACTTAGGTGCACAATTGGCCAGGTGGAAAACACCAAAGGATCCTTACAAAGGTAACCTCTTTTTACCACCCTAACTGTGTCTGGCTCCTGATTTTAGGACCAATGAAAAGGCATCAGGATGGGAGGGGAGATTCCCTCCCAGCACACACCCCAGACCCCCATCATCATGATTTACAACCCTGTTTGCAGAGGTCAGTGGGCTTCTGGCATATTCCCTGCCTCAGTGACAGTGTGCCAGGGTGCAGTCAGTACAGACACAGACTGGTCTGGCTGGGGCACCAGAGCTGAGCACCTCCTGGAGAAAGGGAGATCAAAAGTTCTCAGTTAACTTCCCCTCAAGGTGGCATCTTATAGTTCCTCCCCATTCTGCATGTCTTTGCACCACTTTATGAACACTCATGACTGCCCAAAATCTGCAAGTCTGTAAGTTATGTACTGTTGGTGCAATGGCTGCTGAAGAGTGTCTAAAAAGATGGTAGAGAGCAAGGCTTCACAAAAAGTGCAGTCTGAGCTGTTGCTGGATCCCCTCTCCTTCCAGCACACCATGTGCTTTTTCTCCAGTCCATTGTAACAACATAGGTGAATGAAAACCATTTAGGCCCAAGTTAAGAGGATGTTCTTGCACAGGTCAGTGATGAACATAAATGAGCTTATAAGGGCCAAACTTGTTGCCTTCCCCAGCCAGAGGCACCTGAGGCAGCTGTACAGGGAGGTGTGGATTGTCAGGGAGCATGGCTGCTGTTACATGATGGAGCTGAGAGACTGGGAGGCAATTGTTTCCACACTGTTGGCTTTACTCATTGGAATAAGTCTGTGCATTTGTCAACTCAACAATTCAGAACTGTAAAATAAATTCATCTCTGTCAGTCTGCTCTTGCTTTCTTTGTACGTTCCCAAGTCTGGGGATTTACAAGACATTTGAAGGGATTTGTTCTGCACTGAAAATTAGAAATTAATTCACCACTTGTTAATTGCAGATCTACAAATGTGAAGAGAAATTAGGAGTTTCAGGTACACCTTCAAAAATCTGTCACAGCTCAAACCTGTAATTTTTAAGTTTATGAAATTTAGAATTTTGGCTAAAAAATGCAGATTGGACAGAAATAACATTTTGCAGCTCCAGTGTTCAGACTGCACTTGTTCAAAGGAAGGCTTGCCTGAGTACAGTCTGTACAGTTAAGCCTTGAATTATTCTGGATAAAAAGCTAGATGTTCTTCCTGACTCATATTTTAGAAAAATTAAGCAATCACTGCCAGCCTCTAGCAAGTTTCAGAAGGGC